TTTTTTTAAGTAAAATTTCGATGTAGTCTCATTTCCACTGGTATTTTTTCAATTATATAATGAAAGGTATTTACCTTATGCATTATTTATTTTTTTATTAAAATAAGAATGAGGACGTGGACAAATTGGTACGCGTTCTTAGTTGATTTTTATATATTTTTATATATTTATTCGCAACTGTATGAATTTGAAGCAAATTTTCCGTAGGTGGCTAGCGATTTATTTATTTAGGATGTCTAGTAATTTATTTACATCTGGATTGGCTTGGAGATGCCTTCTGGCGGCTTTGGGCAATGAGTTTGCGTACCCCTCGGTTTCGGAAGAAACTTTCTGCAAATGTTACACTCTGTATTAGAAATGCGTTACTCCTGCTTTTTTACTCATTTTTTTATAAAATATTGACCGAAAATTTATCAATATTGACATTTGACATTAAACTCACGCGCAGGCACCCGCACGGAAAAGATATATACCCAGAAATATATAGGGTATATGGTAATATATGGGTAATAATATAATATAGGCAATATATGGTCATTATATTCTGATATTTCGCATATATTTCCGGGAGAAAACGATATCTCAGTTATAAATTTCAGATTAGGTCTTCTCCGTACGGATAGCGGAATACTCCGAAATGGCGTCACAATTCTTCATTTAAGTAACTGGAAAAATATATATTCGATAAGAGGGCAAATATGATTCGAGGAAATTTCCCTTCAAAATCTGTGCACTCAGACATCACTCAGGTTGCCCCTGGCAAAGCGATATGTGTGAATCTTCCCCCTTCCCTTCATCGTCCATGCACGGAGATAGAACGAGTCTAGAAACCGACGAAAAATGGAGGAAATAGCATTGACATACTTATTCACACTCGAAAGAATATCCCTTATATATTGGCTTTATTTATAGAGCTCGTTTCATGCTTATCATTCGTTGCAATTTCGTTCGCATTTACCTGCATCGAGTCATCTGAACTATTTATTATTTTTGAATACAATTTCATTCATTCTATCATACATTACAAAACAAACGATTCTAACCGCTATTCGGTGTAGCGCCTGTATATCTTGAAAGAATGAAAAATTGACACGAGGTGAACAGTGATTTTTTCAAGTGTATTTTTGTGAGAACTACAATCAGGAGGAGGGTACAGTACAAGTCCACTGGTATAAGTCGTGTGTGTATAGGTAGTGCTAATCAAAAAGGGAATGGTATTGGTGGTTTCTGAGGTGGCTTGTTCAGAAGAATACTACCACTACTCAAGCAGGGAGCATCCGCTGTCGGAAGAGAGCCTCTACGTTGAGGCTCGGTTATGAATGTCATAGGTGATGTTCTCGAACGTGATATGCCTCTGAAAGACTCTCTAAGTGGTGCCCGGGAATCAGGCATCAATTTGAAGAGGGCAGAGGAGAAACTTGATACGCCGATGACGGGTTCTGGATATAACGGTGGGAATATGTTATCATATTCTCATTCTACGGTTTAGTACTTCGCGCTCCTAGATATTGACTCGCCGAGGCAGGTGACCTTGGATTATACGTAACCATCATTCAAACATGGGGTAGTTCACCCTGAATACCAGTCAGCGATTTTTCCTCATATTCAGAGGATCAACAATCGACTTACAACTTATTCATCAATATTTTGAGAAAAATACAAGCACAATTAATACCTGAAATTCTGTGGTTTTATTTCCCCCGTATGATAGCTGCCATGCACTCACAGCATTCACAGTCACTCCCATCCCATCACTCGCCGGCGTCGGAGCCGTACTACTCTGACCAGTGGTGCTCATGCTATTGATGCGTTCGAAGCAGGTGCTAGTGTACGACTCAGCCTGACCCGGGGTATAATCCTTGGTGCGAATCTACTATAAAATTACCGGCATTTTCAAAAGGCATAGATAATATCATGTTACATTATTTTTCACATGGATATTTAGGGTCAGAAATTCGAATATATTTGTCAGCAATTTAATTGGTCTTTTTTGAGAATCTTCGAATGTCCATCAATCTTTAGGACAGTCATTTTATCTATGATGAAAATGTCTACACCAAAAAATGTAAATCACCGTATGATTAGAAGAAAAGGACGAAAAGAGGAAAACTCGCGGCGGATTCGAGTCGTAATTTACACCTAAAAATCGTAATTATTCTTTTGTTTTAGTCCTGACTGTATCCACATATGATGTAAGAGTGAACAGATCGCCAATTCTGCAAGGCTGTAATGCAGTACTGTCTTGCACGGCGAGGGAGGATGTTAAAGAGCATCTGACAGTTACTTCTTGGTATAGGGATGACGCAATTCTCCTTCCCGGGAGCATTGATACGGGTAAGATATCCACTGTCCTGATATGTCCTACCAAAATAGCAGCTATGCTTTCTCTGTTATTCTCTACCATCCTAACTCTTGTTCTAATCCCTTACGATCCCAATGAACATATCCACTGATTGCTAATTAGGTGCTCAATAATGATGGTGTCCAGTATTCCCCCTAAAGATGGTCTTAAAATTGCCTTCAGATTAAGGAATGAAATCGGTTTCAATTGATAGAGAATTCAATCCTCTGTCGAACCTCTTTTATTCCATCTCTTAATATTAATTAGGATAGCAGCAATCAAGTTTTAAGTAGCGGTCGAATTTTTAGGGGTTGTCTTTGTTTCCCCTTCTCCTCACCCGTCGCAGGAGCGTAGTGCCGTATGATGGGGCCCCGCCCAACACTTTTACAATTTTTTGTAATAGACCGGCAATTTTTTTAAATCCAAAATATAGTAATTTCATCCTGTTCATGAGTTTCATCACATTTTCAGGGGGAAGATTTGTAGTAACGTCTCAAGGTGATCTTCATATACGAAATACCAAGGTCGAGGACGGCAGAGCAAGTTATCACTGCTTAACATTGCACACTTTGACAGGTGAACGGAGGAAGAGTGAACACGTCACGTTAACGGTAACAGGTAATGATAATGATGTAATGGTAATGATCCACATGTGGACGTGCGCATGAGAAGAGCCCACTTTGTCATTTGGGTGTGGTACTTGAGAATTTATGTGTTTTATGTGGGTTTGTTGCATGATAACATTTATTGATGGATGCACACGGATGAATCCGGAGAATTGACTGAATTTAACCACTGGAACGAGCAATCAATTTTCTTTTTACTAACCAAATGAATACGAGTTCCAGTAACAATCTGCCGTATTTTGTCATTCCAAGTCCCAGTCTTCCTACTCTTATAGTGAAATGATTCGAAGTAATTATCAGGACATCCACATATTTTCATGTACTAAGAAAAGCGTGATCTAAGAAGAGCGACCTATGAAATGATATCTTAGAAGATCAAGATGGACAAATCTCTAATCATTCATTATTTTTTAAATATTTAGGTAAAAAGTAGAATGAAAAAAGCCTAAGGCATTCATAATTTCAGATGAATGTCGGTTTCGAATTGATTGCTTTCAAAAATATAATCGTGGACAATGGATCAATCCTGGGCGATGGTGTCTAGACTAATGCGAGGATTTTCGTTTCAGAATCAAGTGGTGCAATGCCTCCAAGACTGATGCAACGAGCTCAAATAGCAATATCTGCAGAGCGAGGTTCAGATGTTCACCTCACATGCTCAGCACAGGGGACTCCTCCTCCACGATTCGCTTGGTATAGAGACGTCAACGGTCAGTATGAATATCACTAAGTTCAGATTACATAATCTCTCAATAAGGTGTAGTGGATAATATAGTAATCTTACCGTCCGATTCCACATGTTTATCCGTCCTCTGTGAGGACGAAAATTTTATGTGTGGGTGGATTTTTATCAATTAAATCACGACCCACCCCCAATCTGGTATCTTTTTCGATAAGAAAAAGACTAGAAAAGAGGTCCAAGAGTTATTTGTACAGCATAAAATTCACATCCTGTCATTTATCAATCATCATCAACTCAGGACACTGGACTTGTTCACAGGTCACTCGATTTCCGTGGAAGCTTCCAACAAGATTCAATTCTGGGGCGATCTAATGCAAATAAAACGAGTGGACGGTCAAGATGCTGGCCGCTACGTATGTCATACAATGAATGAGTATGGTGAAGAACGTGCGGAGACGCATCTCTCGGTCACTTCGAAATTGAACGCCCGAATCCAGCCAACGATCCAAGTAGTCAATGCTGGTGAGCCGGCCACAATGAATTGCACAGTTGAAGGCTATCCAATAGAGAGTGTTGAGTGGTTACATGATGGCATCCCTGTCCTGACACCACAGGACACCAGAATACGATTACCCACACCTTTGGTCCTTGTTGTTGGTTCAGTCGGTAGAAATGACAAGGGCATGTACCAATGCTTAGTCAGAAGTGATAAAGAAAATGCTCAAGCCACAGCTGAACTTAAATTGGGTGATACTGTACCCGAGTTGCAGTATACATTCATCGAACAAGCCCTTAGGCCTGGACCACCGGTTTCATTGAGATGCTCTGCAACAGGCTCACCACCACCATCCTTCACCTGGTTGTTGGATGGTGAACCCTTAAACGAACTTGGTCACAGTCACAGGTATGGGATTAGTATCAGATATTTAACTCACGGAAATGCAATTTACTATTGAGTCGAATACTATGCAATTGTCATGATGAATAATAATTTAGGGATAAACAATTAACAGGCATTGCCAAATTCGGGAACAATTTCTATACTGATTCTTTCGGATTGTGTCCTTGATTAATACCTTTAACTTGAAGTAACTGAAATGGTCGCCGGTAGATGTTTTCATTAGCATTAAAATGGTTCTTTTTCATTTAGATATGCTATAGGTCAATATGTCGATCAATCAGGCGACGTAATAAGCCACTTAAATATCACATCAGCTGATGCAGAGGATGGCGGTCTCTACGCTTGTGTAGCTCGAAACACCCTAGCAGCAGTTGAACACAAAGCTCGCTTGAATATTTACGGTAAATAGCATTCAGCTAACCAGTAATGATTTTGTTTATTAAAATTATTTATCAATACGTTTTTCATTGATTGCCGTATACTGCTATCAAAAGTAATTTTCATTTTCTCATTTCCATTTCATAGACGTAAGATTTATCATATTCTTTGATTTGTAGATTAATTGTTTCAACTTTCATGAGGATTATTTGGATTATAGATATACTATAGTGATAGTTTGTTTTGATAGTATGGCATTGCCATTTCAGTCCGAAGCGAGGGGTAGGATTAAATGATACTTCACTGTCCAACGACTTCGTCACGCGTTGCGTGTGGTACTCACGATTTGTGGTATGCAGTGCAGTAAAAATCAGTTGTAACCAAGTTGATCACCAAAGTCGTTGTGGCGAATTCTGGATTACTGGACGATCGAAGGTTATATCAGAAGTTATGTCCCAAGGATTGACTGGACCATTACTAGTTAGGTCAAAATAGATCTAACAAGAAGATGAGGTCGCATTGTGTGGGATCAAACACTGAAGTGTACTATGCTGATTACGCAGGAGTTCGAATAGGAAATCTCACAGAAAGAGAAAGAACTTTCTCCATGTTATTAAATTTGAAGTTCCAATGCCGTCCAATTTTTAGTTCTCTTTTTGTGGAGATTTTTGGGTATTCGTGGGTACTTGTCCGACCAGCTTCGGTTATTTTTCCGGGAAATCGCCGGGTTTCGTGGGGTTTCGGATGACGGGAAGTCCTCGGTTTCATCTGCGGTCAAAAACGGACAAAAAACAAAACATATAGATGTAGAGCACCCGTAAAAAACACCGACAAACGCAAAGTCTGCACATAACCCAGAAAATCGGAAGGTCCCGAGTTCCCCGGTCTGGACTATCCATTTTTTTCAGTCCAAATTTCTTGTAAATTTTATGTTGAGAATATTCTTGAATCATATCCAACGATGTGGAGTCCTATATAAATTCCCATTTTTGATGAAGAATATATACGGAAGTGTTGCTAGAATATGAACTATCATTGATACATCAGAACATTACCTTGATGAATTTTACGTTTTAGGTGCTCCCTACATTCGTTCAATTGGTCCTGTTAGAGCAATAGCCGGTGTAGACATCACTATTGCTTGTCCTTACTCTGGTTACCCTATAACATCAGTGGACTGGTCAAGGGGTACCGTTGAACTACCATTAGACATGCGTCATCGTGTCGATAACGAGGGCTACCTAACAATTACCACTGTGGACCCTGACGATGCAGGGACTTACACATGCGCTGTAAGGGCCAGCACTGGAGAAACTGCTAGTCGTGATATTAAACTCACTGTCAGCAGTGAGTTGTATTCATATCTAAAAAACTCTAAGCGTTTAAAGTATAATCACTCTATTCTTTTCTGTTTCGTCGAACGAGTTAATTTCAATTTTTTTAAATGGGATTATTCAAAATTTCTTGTCACGAGGCGCTAATGAAATCCCAACTAACCGAGTTCTTGTCGAGTTTAGGTCAGCAAGTGTGATGAGTCTAGCTCAGACCTCGGTTAGTTGAACCTCATGACAAGAACAGCTTGGGTCATACCGGAAAGGCATTTTCCTGACAAATTCAATGACTACTATCTTACTGGCCTTTCAAAAAATTTGAAGAAGTTTAATTCGTAGAATTTTATTAATTATCGTAAGAAAAAAATGGAAATGGATTTGTACATGAGATTGTTCTGCATTGTCTAGAAAAAATTAGGCTAAATTGACAGGTTCTTTCCATGAGATGTTCCATTCGGGAAAAAGAAGAAATGAAGAAAGAAGAAATAATGTAAAAACCCGAAAGGATATAAATGTAGAATAATGAATTATCAATAATCATTAAATATCATCATGTGGTGTACTGTCAATTCGAACGGTTTTTAGCACGTGGGTATAAATAATAAATTTAAATCACATAGGATGGAAATAATTCAACTCCATCATGACGTTTAGGTCCACCCATTATGAGCCCTTTTGGATTTCCTGCCAACTTGCAGGAAGGCAGCAGAGCACAGGTGACGTGTAGTATCAGTTCTGGAGATCTGCCCATCTATTTCTCATGGCTCAAAGATGGAGAACCTTTACCATCGTCTCTTCGAGTAAGTAAAATATTCGATATTGATAACATTATATCGGATTAACAGACTTTCTCGAAATTAATTCAGTGTGGGATTGAAGTCGATCGTGGAGTACATCCGATAGATGTTATTCTCCCTCAGGGTCCAGTGCACGTCGTAACTATTCCTTTCGGATGGCCAAGAATCCTTTCTTTCACCTCTTTAAATCCGAGAAATATATATATTATATTGCGAGAGCGATTGAGATGTTTTCAATATTTATATCTTCAAAGTTAAAATGCATTCAATACTCTGCAATCCTTAATTAAGAAAAGACTGATAGCATAATGAATTGAAGAATGCGTTAACATTGGATTAAACGATAATTATTCGACGGACATTTTTTTCACGTTGTGGTGAATGATATATTATACAGAATATTTGGATTGAAAGCTTTATCTGCATTAATATTTTTATAATTATCAATTTTTGAATTCAGATTGAAGAGCGTGGGGCTGAATTTTTCAGTCTCCTCGTGTTCAAAGCGCTCACTTCACGACACAGCGGTAAATACACATGTGTAGCCACCAACAGTGCAGCTAAAGTCAATCACACTGCGGAATTATTGGTGAAAGTACCGCCCCAGTGGATGTTCGAACCCCAGGATATCGCAAGCCTCTTGGGTAACCCCCTGAATGTTCATTGCGGTGCTAAAGGATTTCCACCACCAAAAATAACATGGCTGAGAGGTCGAGGAAAAACATCAAATGATTATCAGCAGTTGGATGTGACTTTGGATAGTAGGTTTACAATTCTACCGAATGGTTCCTTATGGACAGCATCAGCGGCACCACAGGATGAGGGGTACTATCTCTGCAGAGCCAATAATGGGATTGGATTAGGACTCAGTAAAGTCATATACCTCTCGGTCAATGGTATTATTATTATATATATTTATTACTTCCACGTCCTGATTCACGAGTCACGCACCCGATCCACGATCCACGCCCCTGTCCCGAAGTGAGTCCTGTGCACCCTCTTCATTCTCTCAAAACCCAAGAAAAAGTGAGAGTATAATCTAAATCCTCGATTGATCCATCAATTATATTTCGTATCTCGCCCTTCCGGATTACACTATTAGATCTTCAGAGCATTTACAAGTCTTCTGCTGCTTCATCTTCTTATTCCTTGTTAAACTTCACCTGAACACAGAAAATGGAACAACAATACGTAATTAATGCATTAAAACTCCCTGAGGAGAATGGGTTTGTTAACCAATGATAGGGCGATGATAAAAATCACTTGGTACTGATGCTCCCTTGATTTCCTGAATCTACGCACCTTTCTCAATTGAAATTGGCAGTCATGAAATTGAAGGATGTGGTGCTGTGTGTTGTGATTCTTTCATCAACTCCTAGGGCGTTCAGGGCTCTTCCCATCAACCTCTCGATACTGTCTTCCTTTACCGCCTTATCCAGTTTATTCAATCCACTAAACAAACGTCTCTGATCATCTCTCAATGCTTTTGTTTGTCTGCAGAACCAGCGCGGTTCGAGTCTCAAAGCCAGAATGTAACAATAAGACGTGGAGATTCCGTGACACTCGATTGCGCTGTCATTGGTGATAATCCCATTGAAGTCAAATGGATGCACAACAATGATTATTTGGACACGAACACTCATCGTCTGGGCATTGCACAAGTTAAGATTGACAGCGGATTGAAATCTCAGCTGACGATTGGCAGCAGTGATAGACAGGATTCGGGTGCTTTCCGATGCACTGCTGATAATGCTTATGGGCGCAGTGAACATTTTATTTATCTAGCTGTACAAGGTAAAACCACATTAGGTATAGCCCATCAGTCCCAAATTGTCAGCCGAAATTGATTTGGAACCCCGTATTTTACTAGTATGATATGACTTCAACTTTATAAGAGTTCCGAATTTCCGAAAACAATAGATCAATATTTCAGAGCGCCCTGATCCGCCAACGGCTCTCGAGGTAATAGAGATCGGATCAAGATCAATACGTTTGTCGTGGAAGCGTTCTTTCGATGGCAATAGTCCAATCAGAAACTACATAATCCAATACCGCGCTCTGGGATATGGTTTGGCAAATGACTGGGAGCCATCCAAGACCCACAATGTCACCTTCACACCGGGAAATTTGAATGCAGCCTCAGCCAATCCAGCTCAGTACAGCCTATCCAGATACGAAACAACAAGTGATGGTCAAGAAATAGCACTCGTTGGAGGCTTGCATCCAGCCGTCACCTACACTTTTCGCATATTTGCGATTAATTCTATAGACATTAGTGAACCGACTGATCCTGTAGTAGCGAAAACCCAGGAGGAGGCCCCGACAGAACCTCCGCAAAACGTCAAAGTCCAGTCAGCAGGACCTGGTGAGTTGATTGTCCATTGGCAAGCACCACCGAAAGAGGCATGCAATGGAGATTTACTTGGGTACATTGTCACGTGGTCTGAACACTCGTCATCGACATCTGGGGTCAACCAGAGCAAAAGCTTAACGGTCAATGGTTGGGCTACGACGAAGGTGCAGTTGACAGGACTCAGAAAATTCACCAAGTATGATATCTCCATCAAAGCATTCAACAGCATTGCTAGTGGACCTGGAAGCCCTTCCATCATTGGGACTACTCAAGAAGGAGGTGAGTATAAATATCCCTGGAAATAATTCATATATTGTTTATAATTGTTTATAATACTCAAGGTGATGATCGTCTTGCATGCGTCCTAACGCCGATCCTTTCAATAGGATTTTACCGTACCTCAAGCGAATTCAATCTTTCAAGAAATTATAATGATCAAACAGCTTTTCAAATCCTCTTAAAAGGTTTAGGTTATCAAACGAAAAATTGCCAAGTGATTAATCGGATTAATCGCGCATTCATCGCAACAGGAAATTATCCGAATAAATTTTTGTGAAGAAAATTCTGGATTTCGATTTTTTTATTTCTTCGTAGTGCCAGAAGCTTCACCGACTCAAGTCACCTGTTCTCCTCTTTCCTCGCAAAGTGTGAAAGTTTCTTGGAGTGCACCACCTCCACATCAGCATGGGGGCATCATTCAAGGGTATAAAGTGTATTATAGACCTGTGCCGACTGATAACATGGAGATTTCAACTGTCGGCGAAATCAAAAGGACTTCCAGTGAAGAGACTTATCTCCATACATTGTATAAATATACGAACTACTCAATCAGAGTTCTAGCTTATACCGGCGCGGGTGATGGAGTCTTTAGTCCTGCGATTTATTGTACCACCGAAGAAGATGGTAATTACAACATTGTCGAAACAATTCCGCCGAAATTCAATTTTTGTCAATTTTTTGTGTACAAGTCACACGAATTCAAAATTATGAATTATGAAATCCGAACGCAAAAACGTAATTTAATAATGATATTAGAATGAATATTTCTAAATAGTCGGAAGACTATTCAAATTCACAAAACAACTATTTCTCAAACTCCTGAAATTCCCTAGTTTTGCAGTCTTTTTAGAACCATAAAAATGATCACGAATCTAAAAATCTAGTATCTAAAAATTTGTTAAACCCATGAAATTCAAAAGTATTCCAAGTTCTAATTAAAAATGGAATACATTTACTTTACATTTACTTCCGGACCAAAATTCAACTACTCAATTCGATAACCATCAACTGCTATTCCGCCGCTGGTAGATTCTTCACATTTCTATGCTGTAATGTTGCAATGGGATTTTGTTCAGTGCCTGGACCACCTGCTGGTATCAAAGCTCTTGCTTTGACAGCAGAGAGCATCTTAGTGTCTTGGCTGCCGCCTCTACAACCAAACGGAAAAGTCGCTCAGTATACAGTTTACAGCAAAGAAGCTGGAGCCAGCAGGCATAATACGCATACAATGCACGAACCACCGTTATCATCAACTAATACTCTTATCATGGAACTACGAGGCTTGACTGAAAGGTATGAAACCTCTCGTAAAACAGTAGATCACACGATTTATATTGAAGTAACATTTTAATTTCCCTTTTAAAAAAAAGCATGTAACGTTTTTTGTCAGCTTTTTTTGGCGCTATGCATATCAAAATATATCTATATAATATGATATATATATATATATAATATATAATATATATAATAATATATAAATTTAATATAATTAAAAAAACAAATTAAATTAAATTTTAAATTATTTTTTATATAAATTTTTAGACTTTTTTCTTTCTTCTTTTTGAAATTCTATATATGTACATATTATATTGGAAATAACTATGAATATATATATATATATTCCAATGATAACACCCCACACGTGGACGATTTGGCGCACATAGCGCGCCATATACGCTGGTCTATAGTAAATTTTCCATAGGTCATAGCATTTCGGGTTATGAAGTCCAAGAAGTCTAAGATAGACATCCCATTTCTCATTTCCCATTTTCAAACGATTTGATGGATTAATTTCGAGATTATATGTCCGAGGATATTAATATTATAATAATATTCATTAAATTCATATTCATAAAGCGGAACTACAATAATTCTAATCTGAGTTCGATGGCATTGGGGAGGCTAGTCCGACCATTCGAGTACTTAAATCTAATCTAATCTATATTCCTACTCATATTCATAAATATTCATTAAGTTTTTTGTTTCCAAGTACACGTACAGTTAATGCAATGCCTAATTTCTGTCACAAATCATTTAAAATTTCAGTTTTTCAGTCTTCCGGGTATCAGTTCTCACTAGATCTCGAACGACGTGACGTAAATCACAGGACTCTCTGGATCATTCGCTACTCAGACTTATGAATAATCAGTCGATAAATTAATTGATCATGTTTTCAGTCAACTCTATGAATTCTGGGTGTCAGCTACAACAGGCCTGGGAGAGGGTGAACCGACGACCACGATAACCCAAACCACAAATACCAGAGCACCAGCACGAGTTGCTTCATTCTCGCAGCTTCTGCGTCGTGCAGTGAAATCATCGGTTACTCTCTCCTGTCTCGTAGTGGGGAATCCCACACCGCGTCCCGTGTGGACCCACAGGAACACTCAGATCTCTACGGGACGCCTTTACGAGATCACATCCGAGGGCCATCTAAACATTCACGGAATAGAACAATCAATTTCCGGAAACTACACGTGTTCAGCTTCCAATCTTTTTGGTGATGACTCTATCACTTACACTCTTATTGTTGTCATGCCTCCCAAGGCACCTGTCCTTGAACTACAATACACAACAACGCACAGCGTGAAATTAAGATGGAATCATCCAGAAAATGGAGGGGCAACGATTCAGGGATATGTTCTGAGTTACAAGCGAGATCCTGGAAATTGGGAAGAGATTATGCTGTCACCGGAGCAGACAGAGTTCACTCTCAATGGATTGAAATGTGGATCTTCATACATGGGACATCTTACTGCTCATAATCGAGTAGGTACAGGTGCACCTAGCTCGACAATCAGCACTAACACCAAGGGATCGGCACCAAAACTTCCGAAGGAACGGGAAATCATTACTGCAAATGCAACTTCCTTTCGATTGAATTTACTGCAGTGGCCTAACGGTGGATGTCCGATTCATTATTACACGGTTGAATATCGAAGAAGAATGAATACCGAACCGTGGGTTTTGGTCGCCAGCAAAGCAACTGAGAATCTGGTATGTATAGCTATTTAATATGTAGCAATTCGGGAAACATTCTGTGGTTGAATCCTGGGATAACAAATTCAGTGATGATCAATCCTTTATGTATTATCCGCGCTTTATTTCTCAGTGTTCTTTGTTACCTTTCGTGATGGGTAAATGACATGCGTTTAATTTCCGGTTCTAGATAATAAGGGACTTAAAGCCGGCCGCCTGGTATACATTACGATTAACTGCTCACAATGATGCTGGAAAGACTCAAACACAGATGGAGTTTGCCACGACAACACTAAGTGGAATCAGCATCGCACCACTCAATGATTTAATTCTGGATGATGAGATGAACAAAACTCCGTCAAATCATAAAGTGCTGTACGTGGTGGTGCCACTAGTTTGCGCTATTGTACTGATTTTATCAGCTGTTACTCTTGGGTACGTCATGTTGAAGAAAACTGACAGATCAAGTTATCTGGGTGAAATTTTTACCGGTCAACAAGGGCCACCCGGTGGCCTGGGAATCGGTCAGCAACTACCTCCGAATCATCATCACATGAGCAGCTGCATGTCCACGGTCCAATTGAAAACCGCAGAGAGGGATAATCGAAGGAATCATCAGGTCTACACGAGTTCACCTGTCAAACAGGATAATCATAAATCTAATGATCATGGTGCAGGTAATAAAAATGATGGATTACCCTTTGTCATATAATTGGAATCAATTTCCTCTTGTTCAAAATAGAAAGTCCTCAGATCATACATAAATTCATAGAATTCCGTGAACCTGTGATTAAATGATTTCTCATTTCAAAAATATGAGAGAATCCGGGGAACCCCATTTCGCACGGTTTAACAAATTTTCTCATGCAAACCCATTATAAAATGAATCTGGGCAAAATTTGTGATGTCCCGCCATTGCGAATCACTTTATAAAATACTTTTATAATCACTGCTTCATCGTGTCATTGCCTTTATTGAACGCCCTCTGTTTACAGAAATGTATGAAATAAGTCCATATGCAACATTTAGTGTCCCCGGTCGAGAGAATCGCTCCGTAACGACAGCTACGTTGGATTACACAATGCAATTCAAAACATTCGGTCATCTAGAGAACGAAGACATCAATACAATAGATTATGGTCGTTCCAGTGTTGATTTTGAACGGTATGTGAAGCTGAATGTTTTTAAATAAAATTAATTATTGGAAACGTTATATATTCGATTTTTAATTGTTTTTTTCGTTTGGTTCTTTAATTCAGGTCTAAAACCCCGAGGTGGCATAAACAGCGGTATTTCCCGAGTATAGCTGAAGCAGAAAGTAAATTGAGATCCAGTCGACCAGGATCTGGTAGCGATACGTCGGGGAGCCCTTGTGGCGAGTGTGCTGGACCTAGTTATCGTGTTCCTGTAAAACCTTGTAGAGGTAAGATAATTACAAAGACTGGGAATCACAAATCACGAAGGTGTGGCATGCTTATTCCTTATTGGTTCCTCATTCCTCAATCGTCTGAGGCGGCTAATTTGAATTCAAAGCATATTTAATTTTGAAATTTACGATTTCTCTCGGCGTTGGTTGACCGCTAGTAGCCAGCCGGTGCACTTCCCATTCCTTGGATATTCCCTTCTTTCTCAGGATTGAGAAATGTTCAACTGGCTATCCCTCTTCGTGTGCTTTCATCGCAGCTAACTATCTCCTCTGATTGGAATTTGAGACGATAAGGTTGCTCTGTAGTTGTACCAGTCGGACCGGAATCCGCTCGGTCGATCTGTAATTGCTTCTCCCCTCTAGACGGAGGAAGACATACCGTAAATCATTATCTGTGATCTGAATGCAGACCCAAGACATCACTCCCTTTACACATAATTATTGTCACATATCTAGGCTAATCTCAACTTACCTAGGTGTTACAGTGGAATATATAAATGTGGATACGCTTTACAGATGTTTTTTCACATGGAGTTGAATCGAGTACCGAATCGAATAATGAAGGTTCCCCATCACTAGCTCGTCGACGTAGTCGACAGCCTAGCCGATCCACTCGCAGGTAGCCGAGGTTTGTCGTTTTTTCACCATATCATTCAACCCGATTAAGATGCATGGCTGATACTTCTTTATAAATTTTACTGTTGAAAATCTTGGACAACCCTCCAGCGGACCGATTCACCAAGAGTTCCCATGTAATGAAGTTACTGAATCCACAATAAGAAAGAATCGAGAGAAAATCGGACAGAACCAGGGAATTTAATTTCCCGAATCTTCTGACTTTTAAATCATGAAACCAAATCGTTTCATATTGATGCAAACAATATATTCTTCAACTAGGGGCTCTCACTGGGTCCCGTGTATACCGAAATCATTTCGAACTCATGGACATCCCTCCGTAATTTAACTGAACAAATTGACTGGAGTTTCCTCACGATTTATTATTTGTATTCATAAAAAATTGAGAACCAGGTACTGATTGGTAATCCACGATTTTCAACAGATTTTATTGAAAGCTTGAAGGCTTCATTATGTCGTGCCTAATTAGATGATTCCTTGATTTTGGGGTAAAGCTCGGCGGACGATATGACCCTGATGCCACCGAGTGGTTTCAGCGACAGCCGTGAATTGAGTGAAGCAGAGTGCGATCGTGATCGTGATTGGCAGGGGCGGTCTATTGCCACCCGACATGGTGGTAGTCTTGGCAGATTGCCAATTGAAGCCGTCGAAACTATGCTCGCCAGGTAATATAATCGATAACTGCTGGCTCAATTATATAACCATTATTTAAGTAATGGAGTTTCTATGTTCTAGGTATCAGCTGAAAAAGGAACAGGAAAGACAGGAATTTACGATACATGTATAATAGAGCTTCACCTGGAAAGCATTTCAAGACGACCGTGAGATGTTTGCATAACGTGAGAGACCATAAAACTGCCAGAACAATTTAATCAATCTTTGTGAGATTGAATAAGAAATCATTTCATTGATTCGATGGTTGTCTTAAAATTCCTCGCGCATATTTGTCATTCATATTGATTGTTTCACCAGGGCTTCATGAAGAGCGTGGATGAGTCGTTCGACTAATTATTGAATGAATCTGTAGAGTGGAGTCATGAAGAATATGCAGTAATAGAAAAATTGGTTAATGTTAAATAATGGATTCGATTGAAGTCTTTTTTTTTTGTTATCGGCTTGTATCGAACATGTTTGTTGGAATTAACAATAAACCTTGATGTTATGATGGACGATAATTAACGGAACATTTGTAGGAGTACAACCTTTTGTTGTATTCAGTAAATTCTGGTATCAAACGAGAAAGTTTCACATTTCATGTCATTAGCTTATTCGACGTATGTAAACGGGTGATGTGATAAACCGAATTAACGACGATTTAGTTGGTCTATTTCAATGCAATTTTATAACAATTACCAGACCTCGTTATCATTAACCGAATTATTCTCCTAGTATGTAATTGATACTGAACATATGTTTTATCGGTTTTACCGTACCTAAAAGACTCTCTAGACTGTGTATTCTCTTGTTTTACAATATTCATATTTTTTATATACTCACGTGTTCAGTTGAATCCGGCGCTAAAAGGGAAAACATTTGAGGAATTAATCAAACCTAAGTCTCGTAGGTATTTTCAAAGGAAATTATATAACAGAACTGCCATACACTCCGGGACTGCGATAGAGTATCAATGTAATTGAATGTAAGTAAAAATTAACCGTAAACAATAAACGATAGACTGATGGTCCCTATAATGTCACCATCTTGAGTGCAAATATTGAATAACAATGGTAATTTAGTGAATCTTAACGGCTGTTGCATGTTTCTATTGAACTGAGAAGAAAATTAAGTCTGAAGAATAATGAATAAATGATTTGATGAATGACGATCGGTTACTTTGGTTAGTTCATTTGAAATACAATAAATAATATTTCTCGTTGTACAAAATAATCTTTTTTCTGTCGAAATGGCATAATTGGAATTTTCCAAATGCGACGTTCCGACGTATAGGGAAGGGTATGGGTGCAATTTTTTTCAAATTTGTAAAATTACAATTATCTCGTTTTAAAAAAAAATTAGTCAATGTATTGAATATATACCACTAATGAATTTGTATTCTTAAATAAGTGCGTTGTCCTAGTGGTAAAGTGCTCGACTGGCACGCCAACGACCCGGGTTCAATCCCGACATTATTCATTTTTTTTTTTAAATAATTCCAATTTTTTTTTTTTGTTAATGACAAATCAATCAAAATATCGTTTAAAAACTGAAGATTTGAAAATCGAGAAGATATCCAGTGAAATTGAAAAATTAGCAATTTTTTAAAACAATACTTTTGCAATATATATACTCCTAATGAAATTACAACATCGCACTAATGCGTTATCCTAGCGGTAACGTGCTCGGCTACCACGCCGACGGCCCGGGTTCAAGCCCGCCAACGTTCATTTTTTTTTTTAAATAATTCCTATTTTTTCTTATGTAAATGGCTAATGAATCGAAATATTGTTTAAACACTGAATAGCTCCTCGATGTTCATGTTCCCCTGATACTTTTTCAAAAATTTCGAATTTTTCACTTTCAGTGAAAATTTCAGTGAAGAGCTCCTCGATTGTCATGTTCCCCTGATACTTTGACAAAAATTTCTAATTTTTCACCTTCAGTGAAAATTTCAGTGAATAGCTCCTCGATTGTTATGTTC